AGATGAATAGATGAGGGTTGAGCCTGAGTGTCTCGCCCGCTAGCTGCAGTCCCATGTGGTATATGGATAGATCAGGCTCTGCTTCCTCCGAGCCTCAGAGCTGCTTGGCAAGTTGGAAGCAAGATGAGCTGATTCAGATCCTGATCATCCTTACTTTTTATGAAGGGGTTGTTAGCGGGATATCAGACCCAACACAGATTTCAGTCTCCATGAGGGGTGTCTCTGGTGACAGACGCTCATTTTGGACTTGCTCCAAAGCCCATTGAAGTCCATAGGAGTCTTTTCATAGTTTTGTCCCGGGCCGTTGTATCGAGGCCTTTCTGGGTGCAAACTCAGCAGGTTGCGCCGCCGCGTTCTTCCGCGCTTCGCCAGGCGTTCCTGAAATGTCTGAGCCCCAGCAACCTTACGCGCCTACAAGCTCTAGCTCCCATGGCATTCAGGGTTAACACTTTGGATTTTTTTTAAAGACGGGCACTGAAAAGATAGGAAGCCACTTAAGAGTCTGAAGAGATGTCGGCAGCACTTTCTGTCCCTGCTCCCTCTGCCTTTCCCTCCAAACAAACCTCAGCTTACTTAATGGAGCACTTTAATTCCAGTTTGATTCATCTTTACTACAAAAGCTCCGATGTGCAGCTGACTGACATTTCATTATGAAATAGCGGGCAGGCCTGGAATGTTTCACTATGTCTTTGATCCCTGCTGGTATCTGTGTCCACCCGGGGGAAGCACCTTTTAAAAAAAAAAATAAATCTGGAACTATTCACAATAGAAAGACAGTTTTTTGGGGGTTTGGGGTTTTTTTTTGGCTTGACTTACAGGTTCCCCCTCAGCCCCAATTCCCCCAGCAAATTGGACAGAAGCAGGAATCAGAAAGGTTGCTCCCAAGAAATCCTAACAATGTTTTCTCATTCTCCCCCCTCCAATACAGAGTTTATAACTGCTTGCAAAATGCTTGTATTTACAAATCGACATCCTATTATAATCTGAAATTGGGAAATCTTCCGGTGCAACTAGGATTGTATATTTGTCTGTGGGATAAACAATAGATGGTAACTTTTTTTTTTTTTTAAGTACTCCTTT